TTTCTGTTAAAATCAGCCATTCAACTGCCTTCATGTTCATCTTTTCCCCTTTATTTTAGGTGGTGCACTTCAATGGTTGGAAGAAAATCAAACCTCAATATCCTGATCTGCAAACTTTGGAATGTTGGAGTCACCATAGTTAAGACAACAGAATTTCTCCAAGGCCAGACATCTAGATGGGGGCTTGCATGGTCATTTTTGCCTCCCTCCAGGAAGATGATTGCATATGACCGAGAAGAATAATTTGTCTTTGACATCAGAGGTTTTGTAATTCTTTTTTTCCTACTTTGCATAATTTAGATAAATTAAAAAGCTAGAAATTTGCAAATTTGAGTGATTTATAATATGAACATAGTTGAAATCAAACGTCATACTATTTGCTATTATTGAGTTTTTTATAACAGCTGCTACTCTGCTTGTCAGCGTACTGGACTTCAGATTGTAAAAGAATTTGCTGATATTGAGGTAGCATGTGTGTTCAAACCTTATATCTCCAAGAAAAATGTTAATTTGTTGAAATTTTGAGCACGAGATGCATTTGTGGTATTGGCATAGTTTAGGGGATTTGGGGATACATTGGAATTTCCAAGGATGGAGGAAGTTTTCTTCTGAAAGGTCACATATTAGATGCATTTTACACTAACTTGGAACATGGGTGATACAAGAGTAGGACTATGTCAAACACTTCATTGTGTACAAGGCAGCTATCAGCTCATAAGAAAATGGTGCCTTTCCTTAATTAGACTTTACAAGATTACCGTACCAAAAATTTGCCACGAATGCTTTGAAATGGTACTATCTTTCCTGGATTTTAGGTATAACTAGCCTTTTTTCCTCCAAAGTTTTTACCCCCTTCCAGTTTATCATTGATGATCTTTCCATGATCAATGACTTTTAGGGGATAATACTGATAGGCCTCCCATACGGATTACATACTCTAGAAGAAGCAAGAAAGGTTGAGAAGCAACTAGAAGATGGGGGGAAGGATAACAGCATTCTGTTGTAGGCCAAATAAGAGGGAAAAGTAGTTAGGAAGTGGATATAAATAAGAGGGAAAGGGGGGCTTGGGAGGCAGGCAAATATTGAGTGGATAGAGGGAGTCTTGTAAACATTTTTTTTTATTTGTAATTTCTGCAGTTCAATTCAATCAATAACGGATTGTTCTCTTCGCGTTTCAGTTTTGTAGTTTTGAATTTTGAATTCATTTTGGGTTTTGTGTTTTGAGTGTCTGTTTTGAAATTGCTTAAAATGCGTTTTTTTTCCATTTTGAAAAAATATCTCTCAAAACATATAACTGAAAAACACGTTTACTTTGAAATTTTGATAGTATTTTTTTATAATATTTATTTAATAAAATTTAATAGTTTAATGTTAATATAGTATTAAATAACATATAAATTTTGAAATTGGTGAATCTTGAAATTTTTTTCAGGTATAAGATACACAACCTAAATTAAATTTGGCAAAACAGTTTAATAGATACAAATTAAATCAAAGGTAAATTTACAAATCAAGTCATTCTTAATTTAGGATATCAAGATCAAAAGAATATCTATATTCAAGCATGTTTGAGGACAATCAAACCATCTACAAGAATGCCTTAGATAAAGTCGATAGCTGTGTGTTTCATCGTGGCACAAAAGAGATATCCTAGCATATATACAAATTCATTCCAATATGATATTCTTATTTTATATAAATAATGACTTATTAATTCATAATCATTGCGGCATACAAGCACAAGTAAATGGGTAAAGATTAGATAGAGTAATTTCCTCTTCACTCATTACAAAGACTTTGGAGTAACATTATAAGGAAATCGAGCTACTCTTCCAAATATGTTAAACTCTTTGGGATGTAACATTGGCCAACGCTCACCTTTACTCGCCAACCTGTACAAGAGCACAGAATAAGTCAAAAAAATGTCGTGGCAAGTAAAAAGAATAAAAATGAACTAGGTCAAGATTTGTACACTTACCTCCTCATCCATTACAAAGACTTTGAGATCAGCAGACATTTCTTCATCAAGTGGTGAATTTAAAGCATCACGCACTGTCATCTGTGCAAAAATGGTGCAACCAATTGCATTAATCCCTTAAAAATGCATTTCTCTACGTATACTCAGTCGGAAGTTGTTCTAAAATAGATAAAAGTGAACAAATATTACCCGTTTACCGTTGGAAGAATATACCTTGGATGCAACTACTCGAATTCCTTGCTCCAAAATCTGTCAATAGAAAGCATAAAAATTCATGTCACATAAATAATCTAAAAAGAGTTAAAATTCTGAATAATGAATTCAAACAATCTGCATTTACCAAAGTAGGAATGCCGTTACAGGAAGCCAGTCTTTACCTTATAATTCCCAACAGTTGCTCTTCTTTTCAATTTATATTTCATTATAGTTCTATAATTCAGCCCAGAAAGACTCGGGGGGAGGGGGGGATAATTCAAGAAAACAAGGACCATGAGAAAATAGAAGATTCAGAGAGCATAAAGAACCAAAAAAAAAATTTTCATTTTTCCTTATATATAAAATGCTAACTCGTCAAAATGGAACCTGTACAAAAGGACCGGTTGCCAGACCAACGGCCTTCCATAACTTAGAGCAGCAATACACACTTCATGAACTAACCAGCAAAGCACTTGATAATAAAAGGTGCCAGTAGTATTATAATGCGATTGTCTTCCCCAACAGCTAATAATGATAAAGTCAACTTCTATGACGGAAATCATTCAAAAAAAAGGGAAATATCAAAAATTAAACCCTGATATCAGGAAGTCTCTTGCCATGACACCATTATACAAACTCAAATCCATTCAGCTCACTGTCATTTAAGACTGTCATTGTTAACTTATTCAACATGTTATAATCAGAATTCTATGCTCCATTTAGAAGCAAATCCTATCTTTTATAGCTAAAGAATGTAGAATCTACGAGACTACCCCCACAGAAAGATCAACCATTCAGTCATAGGACTAGTGACAATATCAAAACATACAATTTACGAAGTCAGTCTCCACTTGAGCAGTGGCTAGATCAATATTCACGGTTTCCATTTTTGTAATTCCTTAATGTACAAAGAGAACACATGTCAAAGTAGCACAAGTTTTAGTACCAACACACCTATTTGAAAAGTCACTCATGCCTAAAGCAACGTTTCCCTTTTTATAATTCCTTATTGTACAAAGAACACAACTCTTTAAGCATTATTACTAAACTACCAATATGCCAATTTGGAAAGTCGCGTTGATGCAAATCACAGATCCTCATCACACTACCAGATAATCCAGCAACAGGGTGCCTCTACAGCCAATGAAGTAGATTCAATCACATTTCAAAGCCACATCTAAAATCATCAGATCATTTCTGCAGCAGCACGGTTAATACACTAATATATAATCACAAAACAACACATATCAACAACTAAACACACTACTGTTATAAACCACGGACATGTATAAATCATTCCCCAAACAAATATTGACACTGAAAGAAAAGAAGAAGAAGAAGGCAATAGAATTACCTTCGGCTGAATAGGGTTACAATTGTGAGTTACCCAACAAGCTTAGCCGATTCTGGACAAAATTGAGGCTGACCCATGGTGGAACTAGATGCGCTCGGTTGAGAGGAATGTTATGGTGTGCTCCACGATCGAGATGGTGGCCGGATGTGGAAGTAATTGGCCTCAGATAATCCACCATTTTCTCAAAACTGGACTTAAAGGCGGGCAATCAACAAATCAAAATTAAGAAGGAAGACATACACAAAACGGCCTTTCGGACTCATGAAGGGCATTATGAGTTCTTAGTAATGCCATTTGGCCTTACAAACGCCCTAACAACATTCCAATCCTTGATGAATCAGGTATTCAAAAAGTTCTTACGAAAGTTTGTGTTAGTATTTTTTGATGACGTACTGGTGTATAGCATAGATCTTGCAGCCCATGAGCAACACTTGGAAACCGTGTTCCGGACACTGTCTAAAAACCAACTGTATGCCAACGCCAAGAAGTGTCTGTTTACTTAGCCGCAAGTTTTGAGTATTTGGGCCACTTGGTGTCAGTAGAGGGAGTGGTGGCCGACAAAAAATAGAGGCTATGGTGCAATGGCCACCACCCCAGAGCCTCAGAGAACTACGAGGATTCTTGGGACTAAAGGGATGCTATTGTCGCTTCGTCGCAGGATATGGGGAAATATCTTGGCCACTCACACAGTTGCTTAAGAAAGATGCTCGTCTGGTCATCGAAGGCCGAGACGGCTTTCCAACGACTAAAAACATCAATGACGACAGTTCCAGTCCTTGCATTGCTTGACTTCTCAGAAACCTTTATGTTGGAGACTGATGCTTCAGGGTATGGTTTGGGGGCAGTGTTGACACAGGGCCAATGACCAATCGCTTATTACAGCCAAGTACTGACCAGTAGAGCTCAACAGAAGTTGGTTTATGAAAGGGAATTGATGGCTATAGTGCTCGCAATTTAGAAATGGAGGCATTACTTGTTAGGACACCGATTTATAGTGCAGACAGATTAGCGCAGCCTAAAGTACTTGTTAGAGCAAAGGATTGTGTTTGGAGAATTTCAGTGGTGTGTCAAGGACCGATGTTTGCTTCACTGAAACTATAGACCAACATGCGGGTTGCATTTAATTCTTGCAATGATTATGTCTTCAAAACAGCCCATGCAAACTCTAAACCATCACGTCACTTCCCACTAATTTAAGCCTTCAAAATATAGTGGTTTATGGCTCGGAAACTTCCAAATTTCTTGGCAAAATTCACTGTTCACGTTTTCCAGCCCTAGTCCTAGCTGAAGGCAGTTTCGTCCAGTTGTAGCACCCTTTTTGTGCTGAATTTTCCTAGTCACTGCCTAGACGGATACGGCCATCACTGGGGGACGTAAGTCACTCCCCTACTGAATTAGGCGATGCCCTCGTTGTCGTGTACTGCCGGAGCTTAGCCTTGAATTGCCATAAATCTTCCCCATTTTCCCAAGTCGCTTCGGACTCCGGTAGTCCCTTCCATTTGATCAAATATAGCATACAAGGGGGGACGCCCCTTCGTCTCACCTCCCAGTTTGCTAAGATAGCCTCGACATCTTTTCTAGAAGATTTAGTCACAATGGGAAGTGCTTGCATTGATTCATTTTTGTCCAGTTCTTCCATGTCCGGATTATACGGTTTCAACATGCTAACATGGAAGACAGGGTGAATTTTCAAACTGCTGGGAAGATCTAGTCGATAGGATACCCTCCCAACTTTAGACACCATAGGAAATGGTCCTTCATATTTTCGAACTAAGCCCTTATGAATTTTTCGATAAGCCTTGAACTGTTGTGGCAGAACTTTCACCAAAACTTGTTTGCCAATATTAAACTCCAACGGTCGCCTCTTAAAATCTGCCCACTTTTTAATTCACTTCCGAGTCTTTTCCAAACAAGCTCGAGCCAAATCAGCATGTTTTCCCCAAGACTTAGCCATTTTTGTGGCCCTTGGACTTCAGCCTAAGTCACCAACCGAAGATAATGAATGGGGCGTGAATGGTTGTTGCCCTGTTGCTTATTTAAAGGGGCTCTGGCCAGTCGATTCACTCTTTTGCAGATTATATGAAAACTGGGCTATATCCAACAGCTTTGCCCAATCTTGCTGGTTGGCACTAACGCAGTGCCTGAGGTAACATTCCAACAGCGAATTCACCCGTTATGTTTGTCCGCCTATTTTCGGGTGAAAGCTGCTTGAAAAATGCAGATATGTTCCCAAGAGTTTAAATAATTTTGTCCACAGCTTCCTCGTGAAATGAGGATCACAGTCACTTATTATGTTTCAGGGCAGTCCCCAATACTTAACAACATTTTTGAAGAATAGCCTTGCTGTCTCTACAGCTGTGCAATCTTTTGGTCCCGGAATGAAGGTTGCATATTTCAAGAACCGGTCAACAACAACAATAATAGAGCAAACCCATCTGATTTCGGCAATGCACTGATAAAATTCATGGTTACCACATCCCATGACTGCTTGAGGATTGGAAGAGGATCAAGTAGACCTACCGACAGCCTGTTTTCTACCTTGTTTTATTGGCACACAAGACACGCTCTCACATAAGTCTCCACCTGATCCCGCATATGAGGCCAATAGTATGCTCTTTCGATCAAGGCCAGGGTTTGATCAATCCCTGGATGTCCAGCCCATTTTGTGTCATGGCATTCCCGAGTAATATCCCGTCTCAAATGGTTCCACTTAGGAACAAATACCCGTTGTCCAGTGGAATAAAGCATCCCATTTTCCACTCAGAACTTTTGAGTTTTACCCTCTCGGATAGCCTGCATAAAGTCCTTTGCAACCAGGTCATGTTCCAGACCTTCTTTGATTAATCCCAGCAATGTTCCGGTCACTTGGCTAGTGGCCGAAAGTTCTGCCTTTCAGCTGAGGGCATCGGCCACCACATTGGCCTTTCCTGGCTTATACTCCAACACAAAATCAAATTTAGCTAAGAAATCCTGCCACCATACTTGTTTCGGACTTAGCTTCTTTTCGGTGTGAAAATAACTCGTCGCCACATTATCCGTTTTAATTACAAAACGAGAACCAAGCAAGTAGTGGCACCATACCTGCAAGCAGTGAATAATTCCGGTCATTTCCTTTTCCTGCATCGTATAACGATGCTCTCTCATTTAGTTTTCGGCTTTCAATGCAATTGGGTAGCCATCCTGCATCAACACACCCCCGATAGCAAAATCTGAAGTATCAGTTTGTACCTCAAAACACTTGTTAAAATTTGGCAACACCAGAATAGGTTCTGTCGTAATGGCTACCTTCAGGTTATCGAAGGCCCTTTGACACTTAATCCACCAATCCCACCTTTGATTCTTTCTCAACAGATCCATCAAAGGGGCTGCTTGAGATGAGTAGCCCTGGATGAACTTCCGATAATAATTCACAAGGCCCAAGAAAGACCGCAACTCAGTCACCTTAATTGGCGGATCCCAATCATTTATGGCCTTTATTTTTGCCTCATCCATCGGCAACCGGCCAAACCTGATTACATGCCCCAAAAAGTTTACCTCCTCTTTGGCGAATGAACACTTCTCCTTCTTTATAAAAAGCATATTCTCCCGCAGTACTTGGAAAATGATTCCCAATTGTTCAACATGTTCATCCAACGAATTGTTGTAGATGACAATGTCATCGGGGTAGACTACCACAAAACAATCCAATAACGGCTGAAAAATCCGGTTCATCAAATTGCAAAACATGGCTGAAGCATTGGTCAGGCCGAAAGGCATGACAAGCCACTCAAATGACCCATACCGACTAATGCAAGCAGTTTTTGGCTCATCACCCTCTTCTATTCGGACTTGGTAATATCCCTTTTGCAAAGCCACCTTTATATAGAACTTCCACTGTCTATCAAACAAATCAGCAATTAAAGGAATGGGATATTTATTCTTTATATTTACCTTATTTAGTGCCCGGTATCACATTCGCAAGGAGCTGTCTGCTTTCTTTTGGAATAGAACCAGGGCACCATAAGGAACCTTCGAGAGTCTGATCTTTCCAGTTTCAACCAATTCTGTCAACTGTCTTCCGAGTTCCTCCAAATCCGGGGGAGCCATTCGATATGGAGACATTGCCGGAGGTTTAGCAGCTTGTTCCAGCTCAATCCGATGATCCACCTCCCTTCGGGGTAGTAATTTTTTGGGCAATTTAGGTGGCATTAAGTCCCGATTTTCCTCCAAAATATTTCTGATCTTAGTAGGTAAAACTGCATCATCAATAATAGTTTCAGCCTCGGCTGCCAACCGAGCAATAAATGTTGGCTCGCTCCTTTTCCAATCCTTGGCCAGCTGCATGGCTGAAAGTTGGCTGGTCTCCATCCTCACCGAAATTGTGGGAATCAAACAAGAGGAACCTTTTTCAAGAATACAAATAGAACCAAACGAAGGTAAAGGGGTAGCGTTTACCTTCCGCAGGAAGTCAAGTCCCAATACCAGCTTGAAGTCGTCCATTGATGCAACGGACAAGTCAATGGGTCCCCTCCAAGAACCCTAGCTTAGTTCTGCTCCCCGAACTACATGGACCAGAGGCTTTGCTGCCGCATTCACAGTTTTCAACATTCCGCCCCCATGCTGAACATTAAGTCCCAATCTACAAGCTTCACCCTCTGTAATAAAGTTATGCGTGCCCCCCGTATCTACGAGCGCCTGCACCTGCTTCCCATTCATTTGGGCCCGCACATACATCAGCCCTTTCTCCCCGTTCAAACCCGGAACGATCTTAGCATTAAGAGCATTAAACAACTGGAGTGATCCCATCTGACCAGCCCCTGAGTCCTGGCAGGTTGTAGTTTCTTGCTGCGTTTCCAATATAGAAGCCAGCGACACGAGTTTGGGGCAATCTCGCATGAAATGCGGCCCCTTACAAACAAAACACTCCTGTGGTGCAAACTTTCCTTTCTTCTTTTCGTCATACTCTTTCCGCCAAGGACTTTGTTTGTTGCCAACGGGTCTGTAATCAGCCTTATAATTCGATTTCCAAGCAGGCCTGCTCCGCAGCTTATACTTTTTTCCCTCATTCCCGCCTTTGCCAAAATTTCCCTTGGCAGGTTTGGTTGGCTTTGCCTGCGTTTCATCACTTTTCTGAAATTCGGTTAATGACTCCGCCACAACAATGGCTTCGTCCATGGTCTTAACTCCCCGATGCTACAGTTCCTGTGTTACCCAATTTTCACAACCATCCAAGAAATAGAACAATAACACATCATCAGGCATGCTAGGAATTTGGAGCATGAGGGTCGTGAATTCCTTGACGTATTCACGAATAGTGCTCTTGTGCTTCAATTCCCACAGTTTCTTACGGGCCTCGTATACAACATTTTCGGCATAAAACTGCCTTTTCAACTCTTTCTTAAACTTGTCCCAGGTTTCAACCTTGGACGCAACTTCAGCCAGCTTGTGTCTCTACCATAACGCGGCTGTATCCGAAAGTTACATAGTTGCTGTTCGAACTTTCATCCCTCCTTCTAGGATATTCACCCTTTCGAAATAAACTTCCATTTGCCACAAGAAATTTTCCACATCCTTCGCATCTCATTTTCCCTCAAACATTTAGGATACTTGATTCTGGAGCTGCAACAACTACAGCAGTACCTCCACTCGACCCTGCAGTGGACTACTTGTACGTATCCAGCTTCCGACTCATTTTGTCAATCAAAGTTGACAATACATTCACCTGGTTCTACGTGGCAGTCACAGAATCAAGTGCTTCATTTTGCAGTCGACCAAAGTCTTCTAAAGTGGGTGCTACAGGAAATTGTAGGTTGCTCATATTTTTTTCTCTTGATGCCCAGTTGGTTATGTTTTCTTTGTAGGACTTTAATGAGTATTCTAGATGATTATTTTGATGGCTACTATTCATAAGAGATGTTAGAATCTCGGGTAATTGTTACACATTGTCTTCTTCTTGCCAACTCTTTTCACTAGATTTATTTCAAATATTAGTTTCCTCTTGAACTAAATATCTTGCCAAAACTGTACATCCAACTTTACCAGGTATTGTGTCCATTAAAGTGTTTTCTTCACCTGGTTTATAATCTGTTCGTGGTCATGGATTTTCTGCAGAAAGTATACAATAATCCCTTTTTTTTTTTTTTTTTTACTAAACTCTTACTCCCAGGCATGATTGCTGTACCTTAACACGGGGTTAGCTCTGAGGTAAAACATTCTGAGAGTCAATGGAAGTGATATACGTCCATGGTAATTTAGGTACCCTTTTGGCACTTGTCAATTACTTTCGAAGTGATGTTTCTTTTAATTTCCTCAAAAATAGCTATCTGATTGCAAAGACATATTTCTAGCACATACATTCTTGTCCCCATTGTTAGTTGACTCAGACTAGAGCTGTCTGCTGAAGTTGGTAGACAGGTAAAGTACTTTGTTAAAATAAAAATTTTTGTTGGTTTTTTTTTTTGCTAGAATTATGTTGATTTTCTTTGTTGTTATAAAATGAAAGTTGATACTAATGGGACATCTTGTCAAGGCTGGTAGGAACTTGTGGATTGGAGGATCAGAATTTTCTTTTTTGTTATAGTCTATTAATGCTTTTGTTTGTTCATTACTTTTGTTTTCTACGAGTAAGCTGTTAAAAAGTAAAGTTGCATTTTGTTTCTCCAGGTAGGGGTGGATTCGAGTGAAAAAAAATGCCCGTGGGATACAAATTTCACAGGTGCAAGGTGCTTGGTATGTCAGTGTACCTGCAAATATAGTTTGGTATTTTTTTTTTCAATACTCAAATAAATAAAAGTTCTTAGATGAAACAAATGCACTACTAAAATGCATACTTGATAAAATACTTCTATATAGTGCATTTGATACAATGCTACCCAACCAATGGAGATCCAAATTATGACTTTGAAATAGTGAAACCTCCCACTGCAATCTCAAGTCTATGCTAATGGCTATACCTGGAGACTCATATGCATTACCAGGTGGGGATATTGTGGTGTTGAAGCCAAATGAGTAAGTAGTTTCTAGCAATTCATATTGACCTTTTTATGTAGAGGATGCGATGTATTGAGCTAGAAACTAAAGAGGAGACAATATAGGCCTTTTATGTTGATTTTGTTAGAGAGATTCTTATTGTTGTTCTTTTCCTTTATGCTGACGGGAGCAAGGCTCATTGCTGCTAATTATCGATCCTGTATGTACCAAATTGAATTGGGGTGTTACTTTTTTTTCCATAACAAGTTTGCTATTCGATTATTCATAACTTTATAGACATTAAAGAAGTTACGTTTTGGAAATTAGTGTTTAAGAATCATTCATACATAAGTGTCATGTGACAATATTTGTTAGTTCTCAGACCGGTGATTTGATTTTGGTCTAATTGAATTTCAGCAAAGAAGAAGGAAAAGAAAAGTGTGCACTTTTTATTTTAATCCTCATTGTACTTGCGCGAATATAGTATATTCTACTTTGACTGATTAATCTATTCATATTTTCTGTAGGACAAAGATCAGAAAGCATGGGATGAACAAATATATGCAACAGAGGATGATTGTATACTGATGAAAAATTATTCTTTCCAAACTTATCCGAAGTTATCTTTGTTCTTTGTTTTATTTTTTACATGACCAGTTCGAAAGATAATTTCTCTATGGATCTTGTTGAAGTTTTCTTTATTTCGTCACTCTTTGGATGCTTCGTAATTGTATCTTATGGGTGAAATCATGTGTAAATTTACTTCGTCAAATTGAGTTTATTTTGCTTCTCATGTGTAAATTTACTTCGTCAACGTCAAATTGAGTTTATTTTGCTTCTCATGTGTAAATTTACTTCGTCAAATTGAGTTTATTTTGCTGACAACATTCAACGCACATCTCTCTCTTTAATCCTAAACATTCAACACTAACATTACCTTAAAAATAACAGAGTCTGTGCATTGCACAGGCCAAAGCTAGTATTATATTAAACTTTATATTTTGGTAAATTGGAGAACAAATAAGTTTGGTCCATTTGGTTCGTAATTTATTGATATTAGGGTCCGTTTGATTGTAAAGAAAGAATTGAATTGAATTGAAAATGAATTCTAGGGAATTGAATTGTTTAGAAACTGTTTTCCTGAGAATTGTAAATTATTGTGTTTGATTGTTATAATTTTTCAAGTGGAAAATATTAAAATAAGAGTTTTTTTTTTGTTCGTTTGACTTTGTTTTATATGAAAATTGTCAATTAAAAGAATATATATTTTACCTGTATTGGGAATGAAATTTGTTTCCATTACTAACAAAAAAATAAAAAAATTTAGAAAATCATCTATCTTTTGATGCTCGTTTGACTTTGTTTTATATGGAAATTGACAATTAAAATGAAATATTTTTGTACAATATTTCTTAGAATTTGTTTCAAG